CCAATTAAGAAGTTGAATGTTGGTCAACCATCCTATAATTAGTAATTAATTAAGCTGCTCAGCTTTAGAACATGAATTACCTACAATGGCTCTTGGCTCAATTTCCAATTTGGGCAAAAGATTTTTTTCTTCCAAGACTATGTCAAATTAGAAAGAAAAGATTTATGACATGGATGGCTTATAAACCAAAAGTACTAAACCTGTTATAATCCAATTTGGTGCAAAGATTAACAAAAAAATACACACATACAATTGATTTTTCATAAACCAAAAACTGTTTCCAAACGCACTAATAAAACTAACATTCTTGACCATAATTTGTAACAAAGCAATCGTGATATGAGAAATAACTATTGGAAATTCATTTTATGTTCACATTGAAAAGTTAAGGGACCTAGCATGGGTTTATAAGGAGTGAGTGAGGGTCTTATCTAAGGCATCATGATGCACTGCTAATCGTATTCGAATACAATTTTGCTAGCATCAGTTACGTAGGGACGCGTTGTGATGAAGATCAATATATGACTAAAGAAATTATCTTATTCCACCAAGTCACATAACGAGAGATACAATATTTATTCCAATTGATGGTGTTACATCACATGCCGACGCGGGAACAACTCTAGCATCAGACTATTCCAATACCATCCATACATGGGCGGAACTAGCAACAAGGATACCATGGGCTCTAGCCCAGGTAGCCTTTAAAAAATATTTTAAAATATTATATGTATTTTTATGTGATTTCACTCTATAAAAGATTAGTAGTCCACCCAAATGTAGCCTAATAACCCCTTGTCCACTCAACCTATAGGCCTACAATCATCTTATATTTAATTTGTTTGCTCAGTTAAGAGCACCTCCAATGGAGATGTGGTTAAAAAGGGTTTGGAGGAGTTGACATTGCTGTCATGTCATGGATGCCTTGCTAATTGCTAAAGAAGATAATAATGTGTCACGGAGTGTGCCTAGACAACAATCATGAATCATGGATATTGGCTGCTCAAATGCTCATATCAATGTACGACCACTAGGTTTCCACACTGCATGCCTAGTCATCCAATTCTTGTCATTTGAAGAACTTATCAACATAAGGGGAAAAAAAAAACTAAAATTATATTAGGTGTAGGTTGTACATGTATCATATTTATTGATCATATTGTATAAAATATTTTTATTAATTTCTAATTTAATATTAGAGATATGACATATATATATGGGGTATATAAATAGTTTATATATAGTTGGGTTATTTATAGGTGGGAGTTTGCTTATTAACATATATATAGAATATGCCACCAGGATCCATACATACGTGCACCTTACTATGCAGATTGTCCAAATGCATCATAAAAAAGAGCTCAAATTTTCTGTTTCAAAGTCAAATGGAGTTGGTAAATTTCATATTGAGAATAACCTTTTCATCCCAAAAAATGATTCTTATAAAAAAGTTAGGGTTATTCACAGCAATGGTCCTTCAACTATACTCGTATTTACAGTTTGGTCACTCAATTCAATTATTAGTTGCAGATGTCACTGAATTGGGTGTTGTGTTGCACCATTAGTCCCTATCGTCAAGTCTCTCTAACGGTAGGGACTAATGGTGCAACACAACACCTGATTGAGTGACCTCTGTAACTATTTTTTGGAGTTGAGTGACCAAAATGTAACTTCGAGTATAGTTGAGGGATCATTGCTACAAAAAATCCTAACTGAAAAGTCACATTTGCCCATCAATAATCTAAGAGATGCTTGTCACGTCATCATTTTAAACAGAAAAAGTCACAGACTTGATAGAAGGACTAATGGTGCAACAAAACACCTACTTGAGTGACCTCTGCAACTAATAATTGAATTGAGTGACCAAAATGTAAATACGGGTATAGTTGAGGGACCATTGCTGCAAATAACCCAAAAAGTTAAATGCAAAGAAAAAGAAATAAGTTTTTTTTTTCTTGCTAAGTTTGATTAGTCGATGAGATTTGGGTCTCATTTGGTTCACAGAACGGATTTGAGGGAAAACCACTTTCCATGTCATTTTCCAAGGGATAAGAAATGAAAGATTCATTTCCCACGTTTGGTAATGTTGGGAAAGTAACTGGGATATATCACTTTATTTCCTTTTCCATGTTTGTTTTGAGTAGGAATGGAAAACAAAGTTTGTATAATTTTTCAATTATACCCATATTAAATCAAATAAAAAAAAAAGAATGCATTCAATGATATATTATAATTCTAAATTGTTAATGGGGACAAAATGGTCATGAAAAATGTGCATTTAATGTTGGCTAATTTTCCCAAACTTTCCTATGAGGAGGGAAAACAAAACCCAAGTTGGGAGGAGGGCTTCACTTTCCCCTCTACTTTCCCATGTGCCAGACAACCATTTCCCATGCTTGGACTTACCAAACATGGGAAAACAATTGATTTCCTATTCCCAAGCCTCCTTTCTCATAAACCAAATGGGGTCTTGAAGTTTTGACTACAAGGGTTGCAAATTTAGCTTCAATGGTTGGAATTTGAGATAGAGATACAAAGATATGGAGATTGGGGGAGCATGTTGGTCTCGACATGTATGCATGAAAATTGAAGGAAGTTGAGGTTTCACCCCAAAATCAATTGGCAATAAAGAGAGTAGCCCAACTCCTTATAAGCTCTTGCTAGGTTTCTCAACTTTCCAATATGAGACATTTCACCTTCACATTCTCTCACGCCTCCACATATGTAGCAAATTTTCAAGTCTAACATGTGAACAATACATATTAGGTGACGTTGAGCACGTATGACCGTTGAGCTTTCACACGTGGTTTAACCCGCTTTAATACCATGAAAGAAGTTGAGGTTCCACCCCAAAACCAATTGGCAAATTCTTTTTTATATATACAAAATATTATTCTCTTCTCTTTTAACACCATTCTTTCTTTTCTTTACGTTTTCCCTTTCTTTTTCTTCATTCATTTTTATTGGTTGAGAAAGTATTTATTGTATTTTACTTTGATCAAATTATGGTCCTTGTAGTTTGAGCAGTTTTTCTACTTTTAGTCCGTAGTTTCAATTTTGGTAGTCGCAGTCATGTAGTATGCTTAATTTTGTTAATGTAGTTCCTAAAACGACATTTCAAATTCACTAAAAACCCTTATATTGCCATTTACACGCTAATTTAGTCGTTAGGATCATAATAATAAACGTAAGCAAACTACACGACTACAATTGCCAAAATTGAAACTAAGCGACTAAAATAAAGATTTGCTCAAATTACATGGATCAAAAGTGTGATCTGACCTTTTCCTTTTTTTGGTACAATTTGAGCTGTATTTCTAATAGCGAACTTGTTTTTATCTTATTATTAGTAAGCTATTGTGGTATATCTTATTAGAATGCACACATTAATGATTAATCTCTCCTTTTTCAAAAGAGCCATGAGTAGTGTTCAAATTACTCATGGAGCCATTCCGTGTTCAAATTTAGGGACTAAACCAAGCTGGCTTGGGTGTGCTCCGGCCCACCCCATATTAGAAAATATATCCCACCCAAGTCTTTGTGGATGGGTCTGTGCACCCTTCTTCTTTCCAAAAAATGAAAATAATAATAATAATTAGGGTTTAATTAATGGTGTTTCTGGAAACAAAAGGGTGTGCTAAACAATGTCGTTTTTTTCTTAATAACTACATTCAATTTTCTTTTATTGGTTTTAATGGCCCTCAATTTTTTTATTATTTTTTTTAATACAAACGATAATCTAAACTCTAAACTAGAAGGGGGAGAAGAAGTTTCTCACATATTATCAACCTAAGACCATGGTCTACAAACCGATTCCTTTTTTCACTGGACTAGACCCTGTTGGCGGCCCTCAAATCTTATACACTTATAATGAATTTAACACTTGATCACATGCAATATCTACAAACTTTATACCAAATAAAAACGTCTTTCTCCCTTGCCGGGAATTGAATATTAAATTAATTTAAAATAATTTAGACTATCACTTGCATGAATAAAAAAAAAAGTCTACAAACAAAAACTGGGACCAAGCAAAAACTCATCAGAATCAACGGCTGATAGCATTGGTTTGGCTCCAATGCGTGGTGGGTTTAAATTTCCTGCGGCGCCGCGCAGATTATGTGTAACACCATATAATGGAGATGTTTTCCCAATAAGTATAAAAGGAAGGAATGAGAGGACAAGTCACAAGCGATCCTCTTCCCATTTTATCAGATCGGAGTGAAGCATCATATTTCATTACCAAATCTCCACGGTTTAATTTTCTTTTCGATTAAATATTGCTTGGGCATTTCTCGCTGCGCATTTCTTATAAATTTCAAATCAGAAAAAGCCTCGAAAAGTTAAAAAAAAAGAAAAAAAAGAGAAGGTGAAAATCTTCATCTTCCAATTTACAGAGAGCTATATATATATATATATATATTCCTCACCAGACCTCCCAACACCTTATCTTTCTCTCTCTATAGCCTCTGTTTCTCTCTCTACGAAATACATTTTTTAAT